TCCACCTCTAACTTCAATACATTTATCAACACGTTTATTAAAAGATTGTCTTATTTTAAAGTATAAATCCTTAATGCGAAATGACTTTGCAGCATTTAAAACCTGCTACTAAAGTTCTTCTCAAGTGTTTATAGTTTCTCCATAAACAACTGATTTCATGTAACTCCAAAAACGAAAACCTCGGCATTCTATCTCACATTTATGTACGAGTATACAATTTAATTTGTAAGCTAAGATGTGATTTTAATTAGATACGAATAATACTTAATAGAAATTAGCATACAAATGACAGTAATAAGACAAGTGGAAGACCTCAATTATTTGATTTCCGTCCAAATCCTACTTAAGAAACTTTACCACTAAATTAATAATACCTATAGGTACTTAATTTTAATTTAATGCAACAGCATTGGAAGTTTTAAAGCCAAATATCTCAAAAACGGTGCGAGATAGCTACTTTAATAAAGTATACCTTTTTTGTGTAAAAATAGTTGGAAAATAAGAATTTGTAACCAAAGATGAGATACCTTAAAGCACAAAAAAGTTATGTCGTTTTTAACACATTCAATCTACTGCAGCTAGCGCCCTCTTATTTTTGTAAGATTTTTGTTTACATGGAGTTCGGGCTCCATGGTATTGGTATTGCATAAGGCAAGTAATCGTGTAACGATTACTCGACAGAACAGGTACTCGATTACTACGATTACTAGCAAGTAACGATTCTTTAGTAAAGAATCATTACAATTAAAATATTGACATCACTAGGCTTATCAGCTGATGCTGACATTGCTGACACTGGTGACAGTGACAGATAAAATACTTATATAGACAAGTAGGATCACCAGTAGAATGTGTATTTAGTTGTTTGATCATAATTTTGCCTGTTTAGAATTGTGAATACGATTTTTAACATTGACATTTTATTATCTGTGAAGCTATTGTATTTTACTTTCAACAAGTACGTCGCAATGGATAAAATTTCTAAAATAATTATAAAACCTTTAGAAAAGTCTATCTACTTAAAACCATATACAATGCATTTCACTCAGAATGGTTCTAAAAGGACATGGGATTTACTTACTGTTCATGATAGTGTCGCTATAGTTATATATAATACAACAAGAAACGTACTTATATTTGTAAAGCAGTTCCGACCAGCAGTATATTATGGTAGCATTCCAGTAGAAGATAGAAAAGGAGAAGGTGAAGTAGACATCCAAAAGTATCCTCCAGAAAATGGAATTACTATAGAATTATGTGCAGGGATAGTAGATAAACTATTACCATTAGAAGAAATTGCCAAGGAAGAAATTTTAGAAGAATGTGGATATGACGTTCCCATAAATAAATTGGAGAAAATAGGATCGTATTGTTCAGGAGTTGGTACATCCGGAAGTTTACAAACCGCTTTTTATTGTGAAGTCAGAGATGAAATGAAGGTTGCTGCAGGTGGAGGAGTAGAAGATGAAATTATAGATGTTATAGAAATGACTGTTGATGAAGTAAAAAAATATATATCTCAAAATCATATTAGGAGTCCACCAAGTTTTATGTTTGGTATATTGTGGTTTTTATATAACAAAAAGGAATAAAGAATTCTAATGTGAATACACATTTATCTTGAGTGTGTTCAATTTAAATTTTAAGTGCTCGTCTAACAGTCGGTGCTTACATGTAATTATTTTCATCGAAATATTTTAAATTATTTTTGCACATATTGGTAAAAGAATCATGTAGCAAAACATAGAGCAAAACTAATTATACATAGACATTTGTAGCAATTAGTTCATACTTGGCCCTTTTTGCTTGCACTACCCTCCACCTTACAACATCCGTAGGTACAACGGAAATTTGTTTTCAAATTTTAATGACGTGCGGGACTTTAACCCACTGTGGTAGGACCAGCCTGACCTGACGTCAACGGGAGTAGCGAGGCCTTAACCACGTGGCTACCACTGCCCCCCTTATTACTATCCATTACTCCATTTAATATAACCTTTTACAGAGAGATAGACTTTCAGAGGTGTATTTTTTTCTTTACGTGAAAACAGTTACAAATCTTTTTTATTTTGAATATGTCCTATGTCTACAAATATAAAATTTAAAATCTTTATAACTGAGTTAGGCTCTCTGAATCTAATTCTGATAGTGTTTGCTTTGTTTAAAGAATTACAAACATTTTCTTGGGGACCACTAAGTACGTATTAATTTAAGAATTAACGTTTATGCATATGTCTGATATTCTGTAAAATAAATATTTCCCTATACGACAAATAGATAATATGGAAACATTGAACTTTGGAGTTTACCTTCGTGCATATTTTTTATTACAGTGGTACAAATTCCTTTGAATATTATTATCTTGTGTAATTTAATTACAATTAGGTACCTAGTGCTATTCCGTATTTTTTTATAATGCAAAAGGTTTACTGAAGTAAAATTAGTACTATAATATTGTCTCAACTTCAATATACAGGGTGTTTGTAAATAAGTGCGAAATATTTTAGAGGGTGGTTGCCAAAGTTATTTTGTGAAAAAAAGTTCATGTAAACGTAGGTCGAAATATGCTTCGTTTCCGAGATACAGTTTAAATTTAAATTTTTTATTTTTATTATTTCAGTTTTAAAGATATTGACTCATTGACTCGAAAGAAAAACGCTTTGGAGGGATAAATGTGCTTTTTTTGGGGTAATCCAAATATTTCTACTTGCACCTTTAAATAAAAGATTAATGAAACTTACAATAAAATGTTTTATTTTTTTCCTCTAAACGGTGCATCCTACGAAAAAAATTGAAGACCAATTTCGTTCAGGATTGATGGCGGATTTCTAAAAAAATATCAATACGGGAAAAAGTCAGTGGCGTACCATTTTTTTTTTCAAATATTTGAATCGCCCCAAAAAATGCACATTTATCCCCTCCAGAGCATGTTTCAAATTTTAAGTCAATATCTTTAAAACTCCGAAATAATTCATAAAAATAAATAAAAAATTTAAAAAACACTGTATCTCGGAAACGAAACGTATTTCGACATACGTTTATATGAACTTTTTTTCAAAATAACTTCAGCAATCACCTAAAATATTTCGCACTTATTTACTAACACCTTGTATATTTCTGCCCAACTTTGCACTAGTAACTATAGTTGGTGGCAGTATACAGGGTGTTTCACGATTATATGCAAAAATTTTAAATATGAATCCACTTCTTATTTGTGGAAGGGCGAAATGGGCGGTGACTATTAGACTCTTTCATTCTAGCCATCTTTCTCTATCGCACGGATTTCTATGACTTACTTTATCGCTCTCACGTAACGGCCAATGAACCATGGGGACTTTCCAAACCTGTAAATTCAGGATTTTATCTGTTTTCAAATTTGAGAAAAAAATTTAAAACTACCACCATTTTTAAACGGCCGTAACTCCTTAACGAATCGTTTCCGGACATACGTCCATAGGAACTTTTTTTCTTATTTTCCGATTCCCAATTCGTATTTAAAATTTTTGCATATAATCCTGAAACACCCTGTATTTTTATCGTCTTATATTAAGTTTCCTGGGAGGTAGATCATAAAATAAAAAATATATCAGGGTTCGTAGTGACCTGGAAAACCGGGAAAAGTCAGGGAATTCATTATTCTTCATAAAAAACATGGAATAGTCGGGGAATTTTAAAAGTATCACGAAAATCAGGGAATTTAATGTTTGCGACTGGAAATTTTGTAAAAACCGGCTCTGGGTTTTTGAAAAAGAAAATCATTTGTGATTTTGAAACTTTCATAAGAGGTTCGTTGGGTACAAAAAAGATTATGGAGTCCATTCTAGAAAAAGTGTAGTATGTAAAAATGACCTGCAAGTGACGAATTTTATTTTATAAGTAGGGGAAAACCTGGAAAAGTCAGGGAATTCTATATTAATTTTGAACTATGAACCCTGTATATCCCCTGTTGATCATGAAAAAGAAATTGCACATAAAACCCTTTTTGAGATCTTAGGGATGGCAATTTTTTCATCACGAAAGTTCTCTTTATGAGTCTAGAAATCATCTAAAAAAAACCGATATATGTCCCATGCTGTTTTATAAAAATATATGACCACTTCAACTTTCACCAGCCGCTGTTGCCAGTAGGTAGGTAGTTACCACAATCGTTTAATGTCGGTAGTAGCCTCTAAATTTAAGATATGTAAAATATTTGCTGTTATTAAAATGTTGAATTGGCCTTACCAAATAAAGTTATGGTCTTGTTTTGCCTAAAATATGCACTTAACACATTTGTTTCGAAGACGATCGAAATATGTTTTGTCTTTCTTCCAAATCTAAACCTCCACCAAAAAAAAACAAGACATTTTTTGTCCAGTACTGAAGAAACAAAAAATATGAAAATTTGATGAGCAGTTGTGCATATTTTTTAAATGTCGCGTGGACACTGTTACGACCATATCCCTAGAACAATGCAATTTTACTTTGAGAAACAAAAAGAAAATGCTTTCACATAAATTCTTTGCACAGCAGACCACCTACCAACATAAAAAAATAATTATGCCAAATCGAACTCTATTGTTCTCCACTTTGGGCTGATACGGATTTAAAATGTTTGATAGGTTTAAAGGAAATGTCAATGAGAAAGTAAGTGGGAAGACCCCTGCATCACTTTCTTGGAATTAACCGCATTTGACATCCTAGGAAAAGACATTGGCAGTGCATTCACCGTACATCCGACTGAAATGATATGGCCTCAAGTAAAAAACATAGCAAAAAAAAATAATTTAAATATTATCTCGACAAATATCTTATGTACCTGATTTTTAATTTTCGGAAAAAAAGAGGTGCTACACTTTTATAATAGGTATAATTTAAAAATTTTTATATTTATTTATTGAAACCAATCTCAAAAATTTGAATAAAAACATCAACAACTGACTTAACTATTAAAACTCGGTTTTCATACATTTAATATTGTGGGCAAATAGGTAATTGTTTTTAAAATAATTTTGAAATACAAAAAATCGTAACATGATCTATTTTATAAGACTTAAATTAGACATAACAATAAGTGCATTTTTACAATTGTAACAGCCATATAACATTAAAAAAATATTCTCGTCAGGGATGTTTATCAATAATGAATTTATTTCTAGGAGTGTGTTGGAATCGTTTTAATTCTTGTCTAAAATATTCAACAGTCTTCTGAAGTCCAACATTAAGTTCAACTTTTGGCTCCCAGTTTAAATACTTTTTTGCTCTTGTTATATCTGGTCGTCGCCTTTGAGGGTCATCTTCTACTTCACTCACATGAACAATGTTATTGTGCCCACCAACAAGTGTTTTAATAATAGTAGCAAATTCTGAAATATATACCTTTAATTTTCAGTGTTATTTTATAAAACCATATTTTTACCATTTATTGTACGCTCCACTGGATTACCCAAGTTTACTGGTTGTGAATAATTAGAATTCATAAGCGCAACAAGGCCCTCTACTAAATCTGATACATACTGAAAAGATCTAGTTTGTTCACCAGATCCATATACCTGCAAATTTACAGAATAAAAATTTACATAAACATATTTCTTTAAGACATTAAAGGGAGTTTTTGAATGAGAATGATTTAATAGAAGTTACGTAATATTCTGTAACTTTTAACAAATATGATTTAAATATCAGTTACTGATTTGTAAGTAAGCAAAACAAAAGTAAACCTACAGCAGAATAGAGTAAAAATGTTTTTTTTTCTCTGAACAAATTTTCAAACTCATATCAAATACAAATAATGCGACTCCTTCAGCGTGCAACAACACAAAACTACTAAAATATACTCATAAACATTTTGCTTAAAGAACATGACAATGCCAGTAACTGCTAGTAAATGAAAACAAGGAAAAAAATGATATGCAATAAATTAATCAATAGATCAATATCTAGAAAACCAAAAAGAAATGTAATATCTATCAATTTTTGGAAATCACTAATTGTGAGAAATTTAAACCTGACAGTATTTTCTTTGAAGAATAAAAGTTATAACGTTATAAACTAATAACATATTAGATTTGTTTATCGACTGAAAAAAATAACAAAGACTTCTTTAAAGAAATAAAAAACTGATCAAAATAAAATAGGCATCAATGATGTCACGATACAATTCATTTTACCTAACAATTTCTTTTTTTTTAAATTTCAGAATAAAGTACGCTAGGACAAACTGATAATTTAATTCTGAACAACTTTATTTAACAGTAGTTTCCATGTTACACAAAAAAAGGACATGTAGTTTCATTTCTAAGGATTTTCAGATTTCTTAATTTCCTAAAGACTGTACATACTTAAAAACAAACTTAAAAATTCTTCTTGGTACCCTAATTTCAAAGACAAGCAATTTTTTTATTAAGAAATCTCATAAAATAAAAAATAAAAATGTACATTCAACTGTGGCTATATTGTAGAGATTAATATAATAAAATAATTATAATTTATACAAAACAAATTTTGTAATAAAAAGATAACACAGTCATCTACTTTTATAAGTATATGTAATATGTATAAATACTAATGCTATAAATACTAATGCGCATACAGGGTGTTACAAAAAATAATTCACACCGCAGTGGTGTCAAAATTTTGTGTTACGGTGTTACTTAATTCAGATTTTTATAAAAGGGCTGGTTTTTTTCAGATATTTCTTTGAAATCATGCTAGCACACTTTTTGTATATTTTTAGCTGAAAAATATTGAAGCACTAAGACTGTATTGAAAACCAAATTGCAATTGCTAAAAACTGTCTGTTTTTGTTTTATGAACTTTTTTGATTTTTAATTTAAAACTGTCGAAGTAACTAAAATGAAAAGTAGAAAAAGTTTAGAAAACTAAAATAGATAGTTTTTCTAAACTTTCAGTGAGATCGTTTGGTTAATAAAAAAAAATTAAATTAGGGATTGTCAACCCTGATACTGAAAATGGTTGCACATATTTGCCAAACATTTTTTTTCGTAATCAATTGATAAATACAGGGTGTTTCGAAATTCATGCAACAAAATTTGGTCATAGATTCTTAAGACAAATTTAGAAGACCCATATTTTTTCTTTTTGCCAACTGGCCCCCTCTTTCGGAGTTACAGCCCCCTGAAATCTGCCCCTAAGAAGTCTTTTTTATATCTCAAAACCATGTATGAGAATCACTAAATTTGGTACACAGGGGTTTTATGACATGTGGAATCTCACAGTACTACGCTTTTTGTCGAGAAACCCCCTTAAGACACTTTCGTGGGCCCTCTTGCCCAGAACCAGAAAAATTTGGTCGTAAATTAGATTTTTTTAAAAATTATTAGTTAGCTAGAAAGCAATTGAATTTAGAAGCTTTTTTGTCTCTTTATATTTGTTTTGTAAAACGCAATGTTTTTGAGGAAAATGGTGAATCACGATACGCATTCGATCACATTTTGACGTTTTTCTCGAAAACATTGCGTTTTATGAAAAAAAGTATAAAGAGACAAAAAGTTTCTAAATTTAATGCCTTTCTAGTGTACTGATAATTTTTAAGAAACTTAAATATGCGACCAAATTTTTTTGGCTCCAGACGAGGGGGCCCACGAAAAGTTGTCTTAAGAGGGTTCCCCGCCAAAAAATGTGGCACCATCAGATTCCACATGTCATAAAACCCCTGTGTACCAAATTTAGTGATTCTCGTACAACAGGGTTCTGAGATATAAAAAAGATTATTCTTAGGGGCGGACTTCAGGGGGCTGTAACTCCGAAAGAGGGGGCCACTTGGCAAAAATAAAAAATACGGGTCTCCTAAATTTGTCTTAAGAATCTGTGGCCAAATTTTGTTGCATGAATTTCCGGACACCCTGTATAAATAGCTATTTAAAAAAATTAATTTTGACAAAAATTAAATAAAAAACAACTGTTTGCATCTATCTGTTACAACCCTCTTTGAGATATCAGAGTCGGCAACTCCTATTTTAATTTCTTATTATGAAATTCCATTTGAAATTCTTTCATCGTGAAAGTTTTCTTTGTGAGCATAAAAATCATTCCCCAAAAACCGGTATGGATCAAATACTTCATTATCAAAATATGACCAATTCAATTTTCTCCAGCTGCCCTGTTGACCTACTTTTTTGTAATACCTTGCACACTCATCGAGATAAAAAAAATAGCAAAGTGACTACTTACAGTTATGACATCATCCTGAAGTGCTTGTAAAATAAAGTTAGACACTACTCTACCATCATTCATATGCATCCGAGGACCATAAGTGTTAAAAATTCTAGCTACTCTTACTTGCATATTTTCTTGTTTAGCATATGCATAAGTTAATGTTTCAGACACTCTTTTCCCCTCATCGTAACATGCCCTAGGACCTACAAATTGTACACTATTAATAAAATGAATAAACATTTAATATAAAATATTTTATTTTATTATGATATAGCTGGATTATAAATACAAACAAATGAAAATTTACATTACACTTTGGAGGTTCAATTACTAGTAGCAATTCTTATGTTTTAAATAAAGTTTTGTTCAAATAAACAAAACAAAGAAAAATTTAAAGTCTTGTTACAATTATCTAATTTTTTAAATTTCACTTGAAATTTTGTTATAAAAACAGCCAGTTTGCTGCATTCAACAATTGGCGTGCAGCACTTGTGGTGGGGGTGGCCTACGTCTACCACATGCCAGCCTATAAAAGCGACTCCAGACTCTGCCTCTGGCCGCAGTCAATATTCATTAGACTGAGGCTCAGTCACTGAGCTATCTCAGTTCCTAGCGAGCATCGGAGTTGAGCAGATGTGTTTGTGAATAGTCGGGAAGTCAGGGTAATTGTGTTGGATGTTCATGCTATACGACAGGGTGATCCGAATTTTATGCAGGAAACTTCGAGGGCAGATAGATCTCTTTAAAATAATAGGTGTTTGCCTTATAAACATAGGTCTGGAACGGCTCCGTTTTAGAGATACAGGCTGTTGAAGTTATAAAAAAAAAAAATCGATTTTTTGTTTATATCTCAAGAACCAATCTGAATAAAATTTCGTACTGATAATGTATGACAGTAAACCTTGCATTGCCTAAAATATGAGTTCCAAAGGTTCAACCAATGGTGTACAAATGGATAGGGGTCATCCCCTTTTTTATAAAAAAAACCTACGCCACTGCATTTTTTACAAGTTATTGTAATGGATTTATATCCTAATGCACAAAATACGTAAAAAAGGTAACTTGAATTTTTTCCCTAAGATTCGCCGTTCTCAAGTTATTCATACCAATACAATCCCCTTATGGCAGATACTTCTAACGATAATATTACAAGAATATTTATGCATATGCTTAAAAGTAAGTGCAATTTGTAAGCACATCGACAAAATTCTTTACACTCGTTTCCATACCACCTGTGAAGTAGAGTTCCTGATGCGTACAGAGACATCATCGTGGTGATCAGCCCCCTCATCTCCCGCTCACCGATCATGTCCTGCGCGCGGTTCTGGAGAAGTGGCCATAAACTGTAGCCATCGGGGACTTTAACGTGAAATTGCCTGAGTAACCATTGCAGGACTACCACCACAAGTGGCAGAATGCTCTGCAATTTTTGACTGAGGTGGACTGACTAGGGCCGATTTCGCGCAGAAATGCAACAAATTTGCGCATCCATTCCCGTCATCCGTGACGTTACAGACCTTGAGGCGGCTATCGTGAGCCTTGAGACGGATATCCACATCGCCTTGGAAGCCAGCACCATGGATACGATAGAAAGGAGGATAGCGAACTATGCAGGTGAGTTACCTCTTATGTTGCAGGACCTAAACAGGGAAGGGCGTGCGGTGCAAAGAACAACCATGAGGATGCCACACCTCCGGGATAAGCACATGTTAAACTAGCTGAGCCAGAGGGTAAAAGCGGCTCTAGAGGAGCACTACCAGGACTCGTGACAGCGATACCTGGAGTAACTGAACCCCGCAGACTGTGGACAATGGAACAGGTGCTAAGTACCACCTGAAAGCCGACGCCTCCCGATTCACGGAAAGAATGGGATCGCCTATACCAGGTATGAAAAGAAATTTGCATTTGCCGACAGCCTTGAGTTAGAGTGTAGGGAAACCCTTCTCAACAATGAAAACCACGCTGCCGCGGTGGAACGACGTGTGCGGCGAACCGATGCCAACCCGATAGGGACTACATCAGGCCGGCAACACCCGAGGTGAGGGATATCCTGTGGCGCCTTAACCCCCGCAAGGCGCCCGGATATCCAGATCGGAAATCGAATACTCAGAATGCTCCTTCAAAGAGAATTATAGTGCTCCTCAACATCGTCAACACCATCCTGAGATTGTGAAACCGACGTCATCTTCCCGAAACCAGGTAAGAATCTAACTTTTGCTGCCCATCAGTCTCCTGCCAATGACGAGCAAGGTAACAGAGAGGATTATCCTGACAAGACTGCTTGAGTTATCCCCGACGAGCAGTTTGCCTACCGCAGCAGACATTCAACGGAGCAGCAGATTCTCAAGTTAATAGAACATCTGTCCGCAGGTTTCAACAACCGAGACGTTGCCAAGGCCTTCAACAGTGTCTGGCACGATGGGTTTCTGGCAAAGATGTTCCGACATTGGCTATCCTGTTGGACTGGTTAAAGTGGTGGAGTCCTTCCTCAGAGGCAGGAAGCTGCGAGCGAAGGCGGAAGGGCCCCTATCCATCTGTGGAAAACATTGAGGCAGGCATCCCCCAAAGAGCCGTGCGAAATAAGAATAGTACCAGAAGAAGCCCATATATTTGCGCCATGCCAGCCAGGACAAGAGGAGGTCCCGAAACCGACCGTGTTGGCGGTCCGGGATGACGGGGAAAAGACCTACCTTAACGAGGCGAAACTCCCGGGGGTTTACACAGACTAGCGGGCGAAGAAAGAGCACCAGAAGAAACGGCCCTAGCCAGGGGGGCCCAGCGTCAGCGGTCCAGGACGACAGGGAAAGGGTCTGCCACTACGAGGTGTACAGGCCTACAGAGATGGCGTGGGTTAAGAGTGATAGTCCCGCTCACCCCGTCCCATCCGAGATCATTTTCCTTGCTAAGGATATTGGCAAGAGTCAAGTCGGTCAGTTGTCAGTCGCACTTCAGAGCAGTTAGCTGCAAGCCGTGTATTAGTCAACTGTCTGCGTTAGTTCAATAACCTAAAAGAAGGCCTCGCCCCACACTTATAAGAAGCTCAAAGAGGGCTTTCTGCCAACACTTAAAAACGAGGAAAAACATTTTTGTCAGATTAAAAAAAAATTCTAGACGTGAAAGTAAGGACTTTCTCATGACTGTCAATAGTGAAATTTCTTTCCCTTTAACAAATATATGATTTGGACGTGAATGAAAATGCCAGACTTATATGATTCTCTTAATTAAAACACTAAACTATACTCAACGGCCAAAATTATAGATAGTGATTCATCGCTAGCACTTGGACTAGTAAGGGGGATGAAGCGTGCCGGGAACGAAAATCCATTGGCGTGTCTGCGTAAAAGGCAACAAGATATAGTAAATATTGAAAAAACATAATAAAACATAACATCTAATATTTTTTACGGTTTGCTATAACCGGCACTTTGATCAATTTTAATTATTACAGCATTTTAAAACATTCCAGTTGTGTTTTTTTAATTTATAAATTTATTATAGCCATGGAGTTAGACCCCTCGTCTACGCTTATGTTATGACGTTTCTCAGGTCGGGCAAATCAAGTCCGTTTACACCCACTAAAAAAACATTTCCCTATTCCCTACCAAGTGCAAAAGACAGAGATAAAATATAGATCGACGTTCAGTGTCTCAGTCTATACACGATTATAGATTCTACCGATGTGCATGGCGAGTGGCACAAAGATAAATAATATTGAGCCGTATAGAAATCATTTTATATTTTATATGCATTATGGTAATATTATGTATTAGTCACTCTTTATAATTTCGGCCGCCGAGTATAGCTAAATTTGGATAAACCTTACTATTTAACTTAATTTCAACATAATGTTTTGTACAAACTTAAAAATATATAAAAGCTAAAATAAAGTGATAAGTAATACTTTACTCGATAAATGTTACCTATGTAATAATAACAATGCTTGAATAAAATAGTCCTGATATTTCAACCGTTTTTTTCATGTAAAAAAGTTACAACTGAAATTTTAAAAATAAAAATCTAAAAAAACTAACACTGACCTTGAGTTTAGCAGTGCAAAACATCATTACAAGTAACATATTACTCATTGGACTGGGAAGAAAATGGAGAATCTATGATGCAAAAATATTTATAGTTTTGTATTTAAAAAAATGAATGAATCTAATGATGGTTGCTGAACAAGGGAATATGATTTTAAAAATCTGATTTCATATTCAAATAGAAGAGTGAAAAAGGCCTTAAGAAAGAATTTTCTATTTTAATTTTGATGTATAATTAAACCAGGGATATCAATACTCGTTAATTTTAATATCCGTACTAACTTCTAGTATCTAGTACCTATTTACCTTTTACCCGCTAATTACCCATTATTCGTTAAGGACTCACATACCAGTTACTCATAAGGCACCCACTTACCAGCTAATTACTTGTTACCTGCTAAGAATCCGTATATTATTTAAGTACCCGGATGATTTTAAAGTGTCAAAACCAATTAAAAACGTTATTCTCAGTTCTGAAAATAAAACAGATTGATTTCCAAAACTTACTTAAGCGAGTGATTTAGTATATTTGTCCTATGTATATTTTTTAGTTTTTATTTGTCTGCTTTTTTCAGTGACAGTTTTGGTTAGTTTATAAAAGTAACCCTTGACTGAAGGGGTTTCTTTAATTGAATTTTTAATATATCTTTTTCACAAGTGGCAAAATACCGAAATAAATTGAGGAAAAACTAAAATTGTCACAAATAAATAATTTCAGATAATGGTTTCAAAATTGTTTTGAAAACATATTACTTGATGATATTGGTGCACAGCTCTCAACCAGAGTATTTTAGATGCAATCTGACTGACATTGTTTTTCAAATAAAGTTTATGTATTTAGATTTCTAAAGCCTAGTAATTCAAATCGCTCAATCTTATAACTTATAAATATTCCACACTTTTTAAAATAAAAACAGACAAAAATGATTTTAATGCATGTTGAATGTCACATTTAGGATAAAAACCTTTATACAATAATTTAGAATACTGATAATAATTCTTAATATAGCAACTAGAATTAGGTTTTGTCATGGTGTGATAGTATAGTATGTAGAGGTGTTTCAAAATCTTATGAGCTTTGACCTTCATATGCGCAGGAACATAATTCCGACCGTCGCCTAAATTATTCTACGTCCTAAAAACATTACACTTATTATTCACAGTCTCTCTCGAGCTCTCGTAGCGTAAACAAGCCTTTGATCCGATTACAAATATCATAATAAAATGCCCTATTCTTTATTATTTTAATTTNAATTCATTATTCTTCATAAAAAACATGGAATAGTCGGGGAATTTTAAAAGTATCACGAAAATCAGGGAATTTAATGTTTGCGACTGGAAATTTTGTAAAAACCGGCTCTGGGTTTTTGAAAAAGAAAATCATTTGTGATTTTGAAACATTCATAAGAGGTTCTTTGGGTACAAAAAAGATTATGGAGTCCATTCTAGAAAAAGTGTAGTATGTAAAAATGACCTGCAAGTGACGAATTTTATTTTATAAGTAGGGGAAAACCTGGAAAAGTCAGGGAATTCTATATTAATTTTGAACTATGAACCCTGTATATCCCCTGTTGATCATGAAAAAGAAATTGCACATAAAACCCTTTTTGAGATCTTAGGGATGGCAATTTTTTCATCACGAAAGTTCTCTTTATGAGTCTAGAAATCATCTAAAAAAAACCGATATATGTCCCATGCTGTTTTATAAAAATATATGACCACTTCAACTTTCACCAGCCGCTGTTGCCAGTAGGTAGGTAGTTACCACAATCGTTTAATGTCGGTAGTAGCCTCTAAATTTAAGATATGTAAAATATTTGCTGTTATTAAAATGTTGAATTGGCCTTACCAAATAAAGTTATGGTCTTGTTTTGCCTAAAATATGCACTTAACACATTTGTTTCGAAGACGATCGAAATATGTTTTGTCTTTCTTCCAAATCTAAACCTCCACCAAAAAAAAACAAGACATTTTTTGTCCAGTACTGAAGAAACAAAAAATATGAAAATTTGATGAGCAGTTGTGCATATTTTTTAAATGTCGCGTGGACACTGTTACGACCATATCCCTAGAACAATGCAATTTTACTTTGAGAAACAAAAAGAAAATGCTTTCACATAAATTCTTTGCACAGCAGACCACCTACCAACATAAAAAAATAATTATGCCAAATCGAACTCTATTGTTCTCCACTTTGGGCTGATACGGATTTAAAATGTTTGATAGGTTTAAAGGAAATGTCAATGAGAAAGTAAGTGGGAAGACCCCTGCATCACTTTCTTGGAATTAACCGCATTTGACATCCTAGGAAAAGACATTGGCAGTGCATTCATCGTACATCTGACTGAAATGATATGGCCTCAAGTTAAAAACATAGCAAAAAAAAATTATTTAAATATTATCTCGACAAATATCTTATGTACCTGATTTTTAATTTTCGGAAAAAAAGAGGTGCTACACTTTTATAATAGGTATAATTTAAAAATTTTTATATTTATTTATTGAAACCAATCTCAAAAATTTGAATAAAAACATCAACAACTGACTTAACTATTAAAACTCGGTTTTCATACATTTAATATTGTGGGCAAATAGGTAATTGTTTTTAAAATAATTTTGAAATACAAAAAATCGTAACATGATCTATTTTATAAGACTTAAATTAGACATAACAATAAGTGCATTTTTACAATTGTAACAGCCATATAACATTAAAAAAATATTCTCGTCAGGGATGTTTATCAATAATGAATTTATTTCTAGGAGTGTGTTGGAATCGTTTTAATTCTTGTCTAAAATATTCAACAGTCTTCTGAAGTCCAACATTAAGTTCAACTTTTGGCTCCCAGTTTAAATACTTTTTTGCTCTTGTTATATCTGGTCGTCGCCTTTGAGGGTCATCTTCTACTTCACTCACATGAACAATGTTATTGTGCCCACCAACAAGTGTTTTAATAATAGTAGCAAATTCTGAAATATATACCTTTAATTTTCAGTGTTATTTTATAAAACCATATTTTTACCATTTATTGTACGCTCCACTGGATTACCCAAGTTTACTGGTTGTGAATAATTAGAATTCATAAGCGCAACAAGGCCCTCTACTAAATCTGATACATACTGAAAAGATCTAGTTTGTTCACCAGATCCATATACCTGCAAATTTACAGAATAAAAATTTACATAAACATATTTCTTTAAGACATTAAAGGGAGTTTTTGAATGAGAATGATTTAATAGAAGTTACGTAATATTCTGTAACTTTTAACAAATATGATTTAAATATCAGTTACTGATTTGTAAGTAAGCAAAACAAAAGTAAACCTACAGCAGAATAGAGTAAAAATGTTTTTTTTTCTCTGAACAAATTTTCAAACTCATATCAAATACAAATAATGCGACTCCTTCAGCGTGCAACAACACAAAACTACTAAAATATACTCATAAACATTTTGCTTAAAGAACATGACAATGCCAGTAACTGCTAGTAAATGAAAACAAGGAAAAAAATGATATGCAATAAATTAATCAATAGATCAATATCTAGAAAACCAAAAAGAAATGTAATATCTATCAATTTTTGGAAATCACTAATTGTGAGAAATTTAAACCTGACAGTATTTTCTTTGAAGAATAAAAGTTATAACGTTATAAACTAATAACATATTAGATTTGTTTATCGACTGAAAAAAATAACAAAGACTTCTTTAAAGAAATAAAAAACTGATCAAAATAAAATAGGCATCAATGATGTCACGATACAATTCATTTTACCTAACAATTTCTTTTTTTTTAAATTTCAGAATAAAGTACGCTAGGACAAACTGATAATTTAATTCTGAACAACTTTATTTAACAGTAGTTTCCATGTTACACAAAAAAAGGACATGTAGTTTCATTTCTAAGGATTTTCAGATTTCTTAATTTCCTAAAGACTGTACATACTTAAAAACAAACTTAAAAATTCTTCTTGGTACCCTAATTTCAAAGACAAGCAATTTTTTTATTAAGAAATCTCATAAAATAAAAAATAAAAATGTACATTCAACTGTGGCTATATTGTAGAGATTAATATAATAAAATAATTATAATTTATACAAAACAAATTTTGTAATAAAAAGATAACACAGTCATCTACTTTTATAAGTATATGTAATATGTATAAATACTAATGCTATAAATACTAATGCGCATACAGGGTGTTACAAAAAATAATTCACACCGCAGTGGTGTCAAAATTTTGTGTTACGGTGTTACTTAATTCAGATTTTTATAAAAGGGCTGGTTTTTTTCAGATATTTCTTTGAAATCATGCTAGCACACTTTTTGTATATTTTTAGCTGAAAAATATTGAAGCACTAAGACTGTATTGAAAACCAAATTGCAATTGCTAAAAACTGTCTGTTTTTGTTTTATGAACTTTTTTGATTTTTAATTTAAAACTGTCGAAGTAACTAAAATGAAAAGTAGAAAAAGTTTAGAAAACTAAAATAGATAGTTTTTCTAAACTTTCAGTGAGATCGTTTGGTTAATAAAAAAAAATTAAATTAGGGATTGTCAACCCTGATACTGAAAATGGTTGCACATATTTGCCAAACATTTTTTTTCGTAATCAATTGATAAATACAGGGTGTTTCGAAATTCATGCAACAAAATTTGGTCATAGATTCTTAAGACAAATTTAGAAGACTCATATTTTTTCTTTTTGCCAACTGGCCCCCTCTTTCGGAGTTACAGCCCCCTGAAATCTGCCCCTAAGAAGTCTTTTTTATATCTCAAAACCATGTATGAGAATCACTAAATTTGGTACACAGGGGTTTTATGACATGTGGAATCTCACAGTACTACGCTTTTTGTCGAGAAACCCCCTTAAGACACTTTCGTGGGCCCTCTTGCCCAGAACCAGAAAAATTTGGTCGTAAATTAGATTTTTTTAAAAATTATTAGTTAGCTAGAAAGCAATTGAATTTAGAAGCTTTTTTGTCTCTTTATATTTGTTTTGTAAAACGCAATGTTTTTGAGGAAAATGGTGAATCACGATACGCATTCGATCACATTTTGACGTTTTTCTCGAAAACATTGCGTTTTATGAAAAAAAGTATAAAGAGACAAAAAGTTTCTAAATTTAATGCCTTTCTAGTGTACTGATAATTTTTAAGAAACTTAAATATGCGACCAAATTTTTTTGGCTCCAGACGAGGGGGCCCACGAAAAGTTGTCTTAAGAGGGTTCCCCGCCAAAAAATGTGGCACCATCAGATTCCACATGTCATAAAACCCCTGTGTACCAAATTTAGTGATTCTCGTACAACAGGGTTCTGAGATATAAAAAAGATTATTCTTAGGGGCGGACTTCAGGGGGCTGTAACTCCGAAAGAGGGGGCCACTTGGCAAAAATAAAAAATACGGGTCTCCTAAATTTGTCTTAAGAATCTGTGGCCAAATTTTGTTGCATGAATTTCCGGACACCCTGTATAAATAGCTATTTAAAAAAATTAATTTTGACAAAAATTAAATAAAAAACAACTGTTTGCATCTATCTGTTACAACCCTCTTTGAGATATCAGAGTCGGCAACTCCTATTTTAATTTCTTATTATGAAATTCCATTTGAAATTCTTTCATCGTGAAAGTTTTCTTTGTGAGCATAAAAATCATTCCCCAAAAACCGGTATGGATCAAATACTTCATTATCAAAATATGACCAATTCAATTTTCTCCAGCTGCCCTGTTGACCTACTTTTTTGTAATACCTTGCACACTCATCGAGATAAAAAAAATAGCAAAGTGACTACTTACAGTTATGACATCATCCTGAAGTGCTTGTAAAATAAAGTTAGACACTACTCTACCATCATTCATATGCATCCGAGGACCATAAGTGTTAAAAATTCTAGCTACTCTTACTTGCATATTTTCTTGTTTAGCATATGCATAAGTTAATGTTTCAGACACTCTTTTCCCCTCATCGTAACATGCCCTAGGACCTACAAATTGTACACTATTAATAAAATGAATAAACATTTAATATAAAATATTTTATTTTATTATGATATAGCTGGATTATAAATACAAACAAATGAAAATTTACATTACACTTTGGAGGTTCAATTACTAGTAGCAATTCTTATGTTTTAAATAAAGTTTTGTTCAAATAAACAAAACAAAGAAAAATTTAAAGTCTTGTTACAATTATCTAATTTTTTAAATTTCACTTGAAATTTTGTTATAAAAACAGCCAGTTTGCTGCATTCAACAATTGGCGTGCAGCACTTGTGGTGGGGGTGGCCTACGTCTACCACATGCCAGCCTATAAAAGCGACTCCAGACTCTGCCTCTGGCCGCAGTCAATATTCATTAGACTGAGGCTCAGTCACTGAGCTATCTCAGTTCCTAGCGAGCATCGGAGTTGAGCAGATGTGTTTGTGAATAGTCGGGAAGTCAGGGTAATTGTGTTGGATGTTCATGCTATACGACAGGGTGATCCGAATTTTATGCAGGAAACTTCGAGGGCAGATAGATCTCTTTAAAATAATAGGTGTTTGCCTTATAAACATAGGTCTGGAACGGCTCCGTTTTAGAGATACAGGCTGTTGAAGTTATAAAAAAAAAAAATCGATTTTTTGTTTATATCTCAAGAACCAATCTGAATAAAATTTCGTACTGATAATGTATGACAGTAAACCTTGCATTGCCTAAAATATGAGTTCCAAAGGTTCAACCAATGGTGTACAAATGGATAGGGGTCATCCCCTTTTTTATAAAAAAAACCTACGCCACTGCATTTTTTACAAGTTATTGTAATGGATTTATATCCTAATGCACAAAATACGTAAAAAAGGTAACTTGAATTTTTTCCCTAAGATTCGCCGTTCTCAAGTTATTCATACCAATACAATCCCCTTGTGGCAGATACTTCTAACGATAATATTACAAGAATATTTATGCATATGCTTAAAAGTAAGTGCAATTTGTAAGCACATCGACAAAATTCTTTACACTCGTTTCCATACCACCTGTGAAGTAGAGTTCCTGATGCGTACAGAGACATCATCGTGGTGATCAGCCCCCTCATCTCCCGCTCACCGATCATGTCCTGCGCGCGGTTCTGGAGAAGTGGCCATAAACTGTAGCCATCGGGGACTTTAACGTGAAATTGCCTGAGTAACCATTGCAGGACTACCACCACAAGTGGCAGAATGCTCTGCAATTTTTGACTGAGGTGGACTGACTGAGGCCGATTTCGCGCAGAAATGCAACAAATTTGCGCATCCATTCCCGTCATCCGTGACGTTACGGACCTTGAGGCGGCTATCGTGAGCCTTGAGACAGATATCCACATCGCCTTGGAAGCCAGCACCATGGATACGATGGAAAGGAGGATAGCAAACTATGCAGGTGAGTTACCTCTTATGTTGCAGGACCTAAACAGGGAAGGGCGTGCGGTGCAAAGAACAACCATGAGGATGCCACACCTCCGGGATAAGCACATGTTAAACTAGCTGAGCCAGAGGGTAAAAGCGGCTCTAGAGGAGCACTATCAGGACTCGTGGCAGCGATACCTGGAGTAACTGAACCCCGCAGACTGTGGACAATGGAACAGGTGCTAAGTACCACCTGAAAGCCGACGCCTCCCGATTCACGGAAAGAATGGGATCGCCTATACCAGGTATGAAAAGAAATTTGCATTTGCCGACAGCCTTGAGTTAGAGTGTAGGGAAACCCTTCTCAACAATGAAAACCACGCTGCCGCGGTGGAACGACGCGTGCGGCGAACCGATGCCAACCCGATAGGGACTACATCAGGCCGGCGACACCCGAGGTGAGGGATATCCTGTGGCGCCTTAACCCCCGCAAGGCGCCCGGATATCCAGATCGGAAATCGAATACTCAGAATGCTCCTTCAAAGAGAATTATAGTGCTCCTCAACATCGTCAACACCATCCTGAGATTGTGAAGCCGACGTCATCTTCCCGAAACCAGGTAAGAATCTAACTTTTGCTGCCCATCAGTCTCCTGCCAATGATGAGCAAGGTAACAGAGAGGATTATCCTGACAAGACTGCTTGAGTTATCCCCGACGAGCAGTTTGCCTACCGCAGCGGACATTCAACGGAGCAGCAGATTCTCAAGTTAATAGAACATCTGTCCGCAGGTTTCAACAACCGAGACGTTGCCAAGGCCTTCGACAGTGTCTGGCACGATGGGTTTCTGGCAAAGATGTTCCGACATTGGCTATCCTGTTGGACTGGTTAAAGTGGTGGAGTCCTTCCTCAGAGGTAGGAAGCTGCGAGCGAAGGCGGAAGGGCCCCTATCCATCTGTGGAAAACGTTGAGGCAGGCATCCCCCAAGGAGCCGTGCGAAGTAAGAATAGTACCAGAAGAAGCCCATATATTTGCGCCATGCCAGCCAGGACAAGAGGAGGTCCCGAAACCGACCGTGTTGGCGGTCCGGGATGACGGGGAAAGGACCTACCTTAACGAGGCGAAACTCCCACACAGTTTACACAGACTAGCGGGCGAAGAAAGAGCGCCAGAAGAAACGGCCCTAGCCAGGGGGGCCCAGCATCAGCGGTCCAGGACGACAGGGAAAGGGTCTGCCACTACGAGGTGTACAGGCCTACAGAGATGGCGTGGGTTAAGAGTGATAGTCCCGCTCACCCCGTCCCATCCGAGATCATTTTCCTTGCTAAGGATATTGGCAAGAGTCAAGTCGGTCAGTTGTCAGTCGCACTTCAGAGCAGTTAGCTGCAAGCCGTGTATTAGTCAACTGTCTGCGTTAGTTCAATAACCTAAAAGAAGGCCTCGCCCCACACTTATAAGAAGCTCAAAGAGGGCTTTCTGCCAACACTTAAAAACGAGGAAAAACATTTTTGTCAGATTAAAAAAAAATTCTAGACGTGAAAGTAAGGACTTTCTCATGACTGTCAATAGTGAAATTTCTTTCCCTTTAACAAATATATGATTTGGACGTGAATGAAAATGCCAGACTTATATGATTCTCTTAATTAAAACACTAAACTATACTCAACGGCCAAAATTATAGATAGTGATTCATCGCTAGCACTTGGACTAGTAAGGGGGATGAAGCGTGCCGGGAACGAAAATCCATTGGCGTGTCTGCGTAAAAGGCAACAAGATATAGTAAATATTGAAAAAACATAATAAAACATAACATCTAATATTTTTTACGGTTTGCTATAACCGGCACTTTGATCAATTTTAATTATTACAGCATTTTAAAACATTCCAGTTGTGTTTTTTTAATTTATAAATTTATTATAGCCATGGAGTTAGACCCCTCGTCTACGCTTATGTTATGACGTTTCTCAGGTCGGGCAAATCAAGTCCGTTTACACCCACTAAAAAAACATTTCCCTATTCCCTACCAAGTGCAAAAGACAGAGATAAAATATAGATCGACGTTCAGTGTCTCAGTCTATACACGATTATAGATTCTACCGATGTGCATGGCGAGTGGCACAAAGATAAATAATATTGAGCCGTATAGAAATCATTTTATATTTTATATGCATTATGGTAATATTATGTATTAGTCACTCTTTATAATTTCGGCCGCCGAGTATAGCTAAATTTGGATAAACCTTACTATTTAACTTAATTTCAACATAATGTTTTGTACAAACTTAAAAATATATAAAAGCTAAAATAAAGTGATAAGTAATACTTTACTCGATAAATGTTACCTATGTAATAATAACAATGCTTGAATAAAATAGTCCTGATATTTCAACCGTTTTTTTCATGTAAAAAAGTTACAACTGAAATTTTAAAAATAAAAATCTAAAAAAACTAACACTGAACTTGAGTTTAGCAGTGCAAAACATCATTACAAGTAACATATTACTTATTGGACTGGGAAGAAAATGGAGAATCTATGATGCAAAAATATTTATAGTTTTGTATTTAAAAAAATTAATGAATCTAATGATGGTTGCTGAACAAGGGAATATGATTTTAAAAATCTGATTTCATATTCAAATAGAAGAGTGAAAAAGGCCTTAAGAAAGAATTTTCTATTTTAATTTTGATGTATAATTAAACCAGGGATATCAATACTCGTTAATTTTAATATCCGTACTAACTTCTAGTATCTAGTACCTATTTACCTTTTACCCGCTAATTACCCATTATTCGTTAAGGACTCACATACCAGTTACTCATAAGGCACCCACTTACCAGCTAATTACTTGTTACCTGCTAAGAATCCGTATATTATTTAAGTACCCGGATGATTTTAAAGTGTCAAAACCAATTAAAAACGTTATTCTCAGTTCTGAAAATAAAACAGATTGATTTCCAAAACTTACTTAAGCGAGTGATTTAGTATATTTGTCCTATGTATATTTTTTAGTTTTTATTTGTCTGCTTTTTTCAGTGACAGTTTTGGTTAGTTTATAAAAGTAACCCTTGACTGAAGGGGTTTCTTTAATTGAATTTTTAATATATCTTTTTCACAAGTGGCAAAATACCGAAATAAATTGAGGAAAAACTAAAATTGTCACAAATAAATAATTTCAGATAATGGTTTCAAAATTGTTTTGAAAACATATTACTTGATGATATTGGTGCACAGCTCTCAACCAGAGTATTTTAGATGCAATCTGACTGACATTGTTTTTCAAATAAAGTTTATGTATTTAGATTTCTAAAGCCTAGTAATTCAAATCGCTCAATCTTATAACTTATAAATATTCCACACTTTTTAAAATAAAAACAGACAAAAATGATTTTAATGCATGTTGAATGTCACATTTAGGATAAAAACCTTTATACAATAATTTAGAATACTGATAATAATTCTTAATATAGCAACTAGAATTAGGTTTTGTCATGGTGTGATAGTATAGTATGTAGAGGTGTTTCAAAATCTTATGAGCTTTGACCTTCATATGCGCAGGAACATAATTCCGACCGTCGCCTAAATTATTCTACGTCCTAAAAACATTACACTTATTATTCACAGTCTCTCTCGAGCTCTCGTAGCGTAAACAAGCCTTTGATCCGATTACAAATATCATAATAAAATGCCCTATTCTTTATTATTTTAATTTAAACAATAAAAATATATATAATGAATGTTCGCCAGTTGACTTTATTGATGCCCGAGCGTCTTAGTTCATTTCTACTTGTAATGATGCACATGGTCTAGTTCTGAGTCAATGTTTTCACAACGTGCTTATTAGAAGAATTATGCGGATACGCCATGCGCCACGCCTTTCACGCATTTCGCGGCTCATGAGATATTGAAACACCTCTAACACTTGTGCTGCGAAGAGTTTGCAAACTTTATTATAATAATTGTTTTTACACTTACCTATTGGATTAACATAACCCCAGTAGGATTCTGGCTGAGGATGAATACCTGGATCTCCATACACTTCTGATGTGCTGGCAATTAACACCTTAGCATTTAACCTTCTAGCAAGACCTAAAAAATGAACCTACTTTTATAAAAAGGGAGTGGTGAGTAAAATTGATAACTATCGACCGATCTTTTTGTTATCGACATTATCTAAAATTTTAGAGAGAGAGAGTGATCTTTGATAAAATTGTCAGGTTTCTTTCAAAACATGATATATCAAGTCAGTTTGGTTTTCAAAAAGGTAAATCGACTAAATCTGCAATAATTAACTTTTTGACATGTTTGCATAAAAATTTGAATGCAAAAAATAAATGTGTTGGTTTTTTCCTAGATTTGAGCAAAGCATTTGATCTTGTAAATCATGACTTATTGCTCGACAAACTCTTTTCATACGGATTAAGGGGCAAGGTTTATGAGTGGTTCTCTTCGTATCTTTCAGACAGAAGTCAAATTGTAGAAATAAATAAGTGTAGATCTGAAAAATTAAGTTTAGAATACGGGGTACCTCAAAATTTTATTGTCACATTATTACGCTCATTTTTATTCTAGATTAAAATACAGTATATTATTTTGGGAATCTTCGTCTCAAATGTTGAATGTTTTTCGATTACAAAAGAGGATAGTAAGGAGTATAGCCCCAGTAAATAAATATCATTCATCTAGAAATTTATTTAATGATATATGCAAATCTTGTATTTGTTAAACATAATTTTTCATTATTTGCAAATAATAATTTTCATAATCATAATTACAACACAAGAAATTGTGATGCATTGGTCATTCTTCAACATGGTTTGTCTTTTTATAAATCATGCCCAATTTATAATGGCATTAAATTTTATAATAAACTTCCTGGCTATATAAAGAATTTACTAAACACACGTCATTTTGAGAAGGTTTTGATTGGATTTTTATTGAAGCATTCATTTTATACTGTAGATGAATATTTAAGGTTTTAAAATGTTATGTGATTTGTAAATGTAATGTAAAATGTAATTGATTTGATGTGAGTGATTTGTAAAATGTAAATGTTATTATAGATGTTCTTAGATATGTTTTATTGACTAGTCCTACACCATTTATACATTTGTATTGGTACTTGATAAGGACAGTAAAGATTNGGACTCCTGAAAACCCAGGTGCCGACCTTGTATGCGCCGTAGCGCAAAATCCTGACGGTAGATTTTTTTGTGCCCATTAGCTTTTTTGTTCAGGATGTTGAGAACTACCTTTTCCACCAAAAATTAGACCTCCCGACTGAAACCACTTTTCCATATAAAAAGTGCGGGGTCATTACTTACCGTACCATGTATTTATATATATGAATTTCTTGTATTTGTTAAACATAATTTTTCATTATTTGCAAATAATAATTTTAAACATAATTACAACACAAAAAATTGTGATGCATTAGTCATTCCTCAACATGGTTTGGTTTTTTATAAATCATGCCAAATTTATAATTGCATTAAATTGTATAACAAACTTCCTAGCTATATAAAAAATTCACTAAACACACATCATTTTGAGAAAGTTTTGATTGGATTTTTATTGAAGTATTCATTTTATAGCGTAGAAGAATATTTAAGGTTTTAAAATGTTATGTGATTTGCAAATGTAATGTAAAATGTAATTGCTTTGATTTGATTAATTTGTAAAATGTAAATGTAATGTATATGTATGTTTTTAGATATGTTCTATTGACCAGTCCTACACCATTTATACTTTTGTATTGGTACTTGATAACGACAATAAAGATTATTATTATTATTTATTTACTGATAATTTTGTAACGTGAAATAAATTTTTTTTTAAAATAGCTATTTCGAATAGTTTTTATTGAAACTTTTTTATTCATAATTAAAAAAAAAACTATAAAAATAGTAGACTGCATTGTATCAGCTCCCAAGGGCCGAATATTTCGAGGTATTGTAATCAATTGAACTTTTATTAAAGCATGCTTTGACTAAAGTTTTGTTACAATTTAGAACAACATACAATATGTCCCTGTATCCTTTCAATAGGAGCTGTTAATCTATTTGCAAAAAAGTTTTATAAAACATAAATTCAAATTCATTTTTCTTTGGAAAGATGTATTTTAGAGAAAGAAAATAAACAGCAAATCCATCATAAACCACTCTAGGCAGGGTCAATTCCGGTCAAAGAATAGAAACATGTTCAAGGGGACCCAAACTATCTTCCACGAGAGATATTTTCAACAAGAATCCAAATCTGAAGTTGTGTTATAGAACTATGTTTAAACATAAACTAATCTAAGCTACCTTCAATCACATATCTTCTGAGAAAAGATACATTTATATTTAAATTATGTGATGGTTCAGGAAATGATATTTTATATATTTTCATAAAAAAGTATTAAGGTGTGTTATCAAAAATTATCAGTATCTAAATCTATACAATATCAAAAATTAACTTAGATAAGGATAGAATAGGATAAGTTGGGCTGGGATAAGAAGAATTATAATAAGACTATATAAGATCTGAAGGATTAGCTAAGCTTAGGTTCATAACAATTGTGTTTAACTGCATCAAAACAACTTCAAAATCTTATTCAGGACATCAACACTAGAGTGTACGGCAAACATTAAAATGATCTGCAACTGTGCCATTCTTCTACATAATTACTGAAGGGTGTTTTGTTATTTATATTTCCATACCATGATTTGTGCGAACATATTACATAAAGACTATGAAAAACATCTAAAATTACAATACTACCTCATTTTTAACACTTAAGAACTGACATACCATTGTTGTATAATAGATACTGATATGTCATCTGTGAGACTAGTATGAAATAAGTATTTTTTGTTTTTGTTTTAAATTATTTTAATATACATATACAGGGTGTAACTTTGTGGGAGGATCAATTTTTTTGGGATAATAGTATGTGTTCCCATAAATATATGAATCTTCTGAAAATTCTTTTTTTTTAATCAAATAAATAATAAAGTTACAACTAGTATTAAACTGCACTATAATTCTTATTCCCCCAGGATTAGGGTGGAAATTATATCAATGCACTGTCAGCATTGCCAGTTGTTCCCGTTTTAAAATGACTGGAAAGTCACCATATTTTTCTTAAATGAGTGTCGATCAAATGACAAACATTAAAAAAACATTCTATTGTTTTTAAAAATTTATGTTTTACAATAATTATTTTTGCCGTATTAAGAAATATTTATAATAAAAAAATTAATAAAAAACTAATCTGATTCATATGAAATATTTTAAAAAAAATAGTTTTTCACAATTACCTGTTACTATTTTTTTTTTAACCAGTGTATTTAGTTTAGCTGAACTATACTGCTACCACTACATAAAGATAGACATTTAGGAAAGTTAAAGCCCCTTCAGCAGTCAATCGGTGATAGACATATTAAATTGATCAAAAGTAAACAAAACAGCAACAAAATTATTTCGTAATCAGTTTAAATTTAGGCAGAATCCGATTCCAGTCTGAACGCTTGCGAAGGGCAATGGAGGTTAACCTCCACTGCTGTTAAACTCCAATATACACATTTTTGAAAAGTCGTAAGTGCCAGTTGTCTTCACACCTGGTATGATATAACGGGATCGTAAACGGGTAAAAACCAAACTGCCACTTTAATTCGTTGAAACAGGATTCGCCAAATATGTCATTACCGTTTCATTTTGTTATACTGTTGTTTCAGTTTGTGTATAACCTTATAAAGTTAATTATTTCAGTGTATAGTAATGCTACAGTGTATTTTTGTTTTCAAGTTTTTGTGTGATATGAAAATGCATGTATAAAAATCAAGAAAAGCTGATTAAGTTAGAGCCCATTTTTTGTCAGTAGCAATGAAGACAATATCAGATAGATTATCCCGACATATAAGTACTGAATAAGAAAATGCTTGTAAGATTGGTTCAACATTTAAGAGGTTACAAAATTTTTGAATGACAATACGCAAGTGTTGGTTATGAACAAACTCAGTGTGAAAATCAGAAATTTTAAATGCTGTGAAAGAGGATCCTGCTAGGACTCGTGTCAAACAACCATTCTCTAAAAGTAGGGAGCCAAAGAGCATTTACTTCATGGCGGGTGGTATGGAAATTTTCTTTTTAATAAAATTTACTTTTTAACAATCTTTCCTTTAAATTGAGATTTGACAACACCTACCGCAGTTCTCAAGTGTGCATGCGCTATGACTAATGCGCTTCATTGTTTGAGGTCATACTAGCTTGTCCAGTGGTGGGATATGAAAATTACTAAAAAAAAGATTTAAAAAAAAATATGTTTTCAGGACGGAATGATAGAAAACAAACTTATAACGCGTGTTTCTAAAGGTCAAAGGTAGCCTCCGTATAAATATTACCTCCATTAAAATTTACACCCTATATAAATAAAATTAAATATACATATGTCGTGTATGTTTGCAGTCAAACACATCCAAATAAAATAAGAAATGTCTACAACATCTCGGTTTCTGAATGGACAAGAACATTCATACATTGTATTATACCTGTAAGTCTCTACAAAAATCAGAATATTCGCGCTAATGTGGGGCATATGGCAACTTAAGAGGTAGCCTAATAAATGACATGTTAGTACTTAATAGTTAATAATACTTTTTACCTAGTACATTTATTGTTCCAAGCGTATTTGTTTTTATAGTTTTTACAGGATTATGCATATAATGAGGAGGGCTAGCTGGACTTGCAAGATGATATATTTCATCTACTTCGATATATATGGGATTAACTATATCATGGTGGATAAGTTCAAAATTATCATGACCTATCCAGTGTAGTACATTACTTTTTCTACCCGTATAAAAATTATCAACAACAATCACTTCATGACCTTGTGCCATTAACTTGTCCACTAAATGAGAACCTACAAAACCAGCACCACCTGTTACCTAAAATAACATTTATTTTATCTTCATTTTTACTTAATATTATACATACCAAAATTCGTTTCCTAGAAAGATAATTTAAAAAATGCACATCTGGATAAGTTTTAGGTACTCTGGTCTCCAGCAATACTATTTTCTCTTCAAGACTTTCAATTCTTTTATATGCCTCATTTAATAAGAAAGTAGCTTGCCTAACATCCTCAGGAAATTTTAGTTCTTTATTTTCTTGTAATGACTTTTTATATTTATTGTATGTCTGTATACCGGCTCCATGTAAATATTTAAAAGCCACAAATAATACTACAATACAAATAATTTACTTACATAACCTAAAAAAGTTGTTATCATTTAACTTACCTATAACAATAAATATAACAAAAAATATTACGTGTTTAACTTTTAAAACTATTTGACCCATCATGGTACATTCTATAAAAATGCTGCAGGATTATATCACTCCTATATATTACATTTTTTTATCTTAACCTACTATAACCTACGACATTTTTGAACTATTTACTTTCTCTTTCACTCTCATTGTTTTAATTTTAATTATCTACATCCACTTCTACAATGAACGTTACATTACAGATTAACAGCATAGATAAATTGTAATATATTTCGAAATAAGCGATACAATTTTTTGTTAGTGAATTAGTCTCGACGAACGAAAATAAGTATTTTATTATTATTTTATCTCGAGTTGGAAATGTTTTTCCGTGGAAATATTTTTAAAGTTGTTTCCAAAGAAACACATGCATTATGTTCAAAAAAATCGTAACTAATTGCAGCTGACGTCACATAGAAGACTATACTGACATTACTGACTACTTGTACATTATTTGTTTTATCAAATAAAATGTTTTTTTTTACACTAAAAAATTTCCCTTAAAATTAAATGTCTCGTCCTCTTTCATCCGTTCGTAAGTTCGTATCGCCGCGATTCGGAAATCGTAACCATTGAAAATTTCGGAACGCCTTATCAATAGTGATGGGACTACTCGAATGAAAATTATCGATTATATCGATTATGAAAATCTCTCGAGATATCTCGAGTGGTCATATAGAATCATTCGATTATTCGGATACGAATGACAGTGGCCACAGCAGGAGGCCGCGTTGGCTTAGTGGTTTGCGCGTTGGCCTACTAATACAGAGGTTCTGGGTTCGATCCCTGGTGCAGGTATGGTTTTTTTTCCCTTGAGACTGACATTAAAAACGCTCTGACTCAGACTACGACGGAGACTATTGTCCCCCGACTGACAAACCCCCGGGGCACCCTCCCCGATGACATAAAAAACTTAATACGTGACAGACGACGTGCGAAACGGCTTGCCACCCGCACCCGCCTCCCCCGACACAGACATGACTTAAACGTACTTAACAGACGGGTGAAGGCGGCTCTGGATGAACTGGCCCAGGATAACTGGGCTAGGCACCTGGAGTCGCTGGATCCACAAGACAACAGCCTCTGGAAAACGCAGAGGGCCCTGCGACAGACCGCTCGCCGTAAAATTCCTCCAATCCACGGTAGTGTGGGGGTGGTTTACACGAACCAGGAAAAGGCCGAGGCTTTCGCCGATAGCCTGGAACTGCAGTGTAGACTGCCTCAGCTGCCCGACGAAGACGAGGAATTCGAGATAGTGGCTGAGCGCGCGGCCCGACGCGTCGACAGAGAGCCAGACAATGACATAATCCCCCCCGCAACACCTGACGAACTAAGACTGACAATACGCAGACTTAAAAACAGAAAAGCCCCCGGACCCGACAATATACATAACACGACACTTAAACGACTACCACACAAGGGCCTCATGGCCCTACTAAACATAACAAACGCGACACTCAGACTAAGACACTTCCCTACCCGCTGGAAAACAGCAAACATAATCCTTATCCCAAAACCCAACAAAGATCACACCATCCCATCCAACTACCGGCCCATTAGCCTGCTCCCGGCTATGAGCAAAGTGGTAGAAAAAATTATCCTAACCCGTCTAAGAACCCACTCCCAAGAACTGCAAGTCATTCCAGACGAGCAGTTCGCCTTCCGACCCAATCACTCCACTGAACTCCAAATCCTTCGCCTTACCGAGCACATCACGGCGGCCTTCAACAGGGGACAGTACACTGGTGCTGTCTTCCTGGACGTCGCAAAGGCCTTCGATACGGTTTGGCATGAAGGCCTACTGATGAAAATGCTCACCAACCAATATCCCATATCCTTTACCAAACTCATAAAATCCTACCTACACCACCGAAAATTCCGCATCCAAATCCAAGATTCCCTTTCCACCACCCGTCCCATGGAGGCCGGTGTCCCCCAGGGCACCGTCCTGTCCC